TTTCTTTTCTTTTCTTTTCTTTTCTTTTCTTTTCTTTTCTTTTCTTTTCTTTTCTTTAAGTAGGCTCCACACTCAGCATAGAGCCCAACTCAGGGCTTGAACTCACGACCCTGAGCTGAGATCAACAGTTGGACGCTTAACCAACTGAGCCACCCAGGTACCCCTCAAGCTTTCTTTTCACACTTTCCTATATCAGTCTTCTGTCACTAAGACCATCGAGATGTGTACATCAAGGACTCAAGAGTTTTGAGCTCAAAGTTGTAAAAGATGTTCCTTTCTCTCTACCTAAGCATATTCTCTAAACCATTTGCCCTTCTGAAACTACTGATGCTTCCCCCCCCCCCCCCACCAATTTTACATATTCTTCCCTACATGTACGGGTGAGTACAGGTCAACTCACCCAATGGTGTAACCAAAAGATAAAATGTCTCTCATTGCCTTCAGTTTTACATCCAAATGCTTTTTGGGTTCCTGGGGTTGGTAGGATGTTTAGAGTGCTACAGTGAATTCAGTGTGATGTGAATGCTAATAGGTTGATCCTCATGTAACAAGCCAGAGCTTCTGGGCAGGGTGATGAGATGAGATACCATTCTATTGCTTTTCTAGAATAAGGACCACAGTTCTGGACCTATTGACTAAAGGTAGTTTTTCCAATAGCTTTTAGGATGGTTAAGATGTAAGTGGTGCAAAGGTAACTTAAGAGATTAACTTAGACTCCTTTCTGGTCTACTGACTTGTCCATTAGGCCTTTTAATTTCACTTTAGGGCATCTTCCTACCTCTCTGTTAGAAACTTTAGTTACTCCTTACCTCTCAAACAAAACAAAACAAAACAAAATCTAACACAGTTCCAAGGGCAAATCTATTCCTGAACAAATGCCAAGAGCATTTTAAAGATTGTATTTTACCAGAAAGAGTAGGAAGAAACCTAAAGAGAAAGAACCATACCAGTAAACACGAAAGTATTCTGGGTAGTCTTAGATCAGTCTCTCCCTGTCCCCTCCCATATCTTAAGACTTTGTTTTGTCTTAGAAAGGTTATTCTTTATTGAAAAACCTGTGTAGAGCACTAAAATAAGCAGTTATACCTGCATTATTTCATAACCATCCTAGCTACCCTGCAAGGTAAAGAAACGGAGAATAGTTCCTTTTGACAATAGAGCTTGAAGACAAACAAATGTGAACACTTTAACACTCCAAGAAATAATTCTAAGAACATTTGATCAGAAAAGCTTACATTTTGGTTTGATGCCTTTATACCCAGATTGAGTTTGCCTTGAGTCATCCACAATTATAAGAGTGACCAGGGTTACAATTTAATAAAGTGACTGACAGGGTATTGTGATGTAATGGCGAATGCGTGGGTGAAAGGAATCAGCAATCTTGGGGAGTGCTAATTCTGGTTCCATACTAAGTTATATGACACCTTGTGGAAGTTATTTCGTTCTTTGGTGAAATCACTTTATTCTCATACCGTCTAAAACAGAGGGCGCTTCCAACTATAGGCAACCATGAATCTCTGTTTGGAAATACAGACTTCAGAGAGTCTGAACATACTTCAGTAAAGCCAGGCAGACCTTGGAGACTAGCCAAGGACTTGTGAAGGTGGAAGGAGTTGCTGGTCATCTGTCTTCAATCTCAATTCTAAAACTTGGGTAGTAAATTCATAGTATCAGTGGGATTTCCCTGTTTTGTTACCCCCACTCATTAATGGTCACAGAGCCTATCATATTAGATCTGCTCAGTAAATGTATTTTGAATAAATGCTTATGAAGCTCTTTTATTCTTTAACACTATGGAGGATTTTTCCATCAAATATCACCAGATATATTTAGTGACAGCACTTCCTTATCTTCCACCTCAATAGTCAATATTATCCTCATATAACATTCAGCCCTGCTTTAGGTTCTATGAACTGACCCAGATGTTTCTTTATGTGAAAAAATTACTAAAACCTTAAAAAATCGAACATCATTGCCTATGTGGCATTTAAATATCATTCTTGGAAATTTTCAAAGAAAAGGTTCTTGATTGGGATTTGTCAGATTTTGCACTGAAATTAAAGGTAGTCAGTTTTCCTCTCTTAAATTTGCTTTTCTAGTGAAGCATTAAGAGAGAAACTCTTCAAATCTATCAAAACAGCTAATGTTTATGTAATATTCTAGAGTTTATGGAGTGCTATTTACAGCATAATCTCATTTAATCCCACTACAGTTCTAGATGGGATTCCCATTTGTAGATGCAGAAATTGAGAAATGGCAATGCTAAGTGACTTGCTCAGGATCTAATGGCTAATAAGAAGCAGAGCTAGGACTCAGGCCTTGATCCTCCAATTGCAAATCTTACGTGTTTCCAACTAAAGCATTTTGCTTCTAAACTTTTCTTTGTTTTAACACCATCGTGTTGTTTGATCACCTAAAAATGGATTGAGAGTGACCCTTCTTCATATATTAAGACCCCATATTGTTATCTTGACTACAGTACTTAGGTTGAAAAATAACCTTGTGAAATCTTTGAACCAATAGTACTATGTGGTTGTTTTGGATTATGCTGTCTAATCTTTATTTTCAAATGAGGCAATTAGTGTGTGGTTGTTTCTGAAGCAGGCAGCCAGCAATTAACAGGCAGGCCCCAGCCAGAAGAGGGCTGTTGTTACCTCTTTCAGACAGCCACTGTTGTGCAGTACATGAAGTTTCCTCTCTGGATTGTCATTTCCAGCAAATGTCCTTCATTTCCTTTGCTCTGATCCCCCAGCCCTCAGTCTGTGGTGAGAGGTGACTGCATTTAAGTAAAACTCTTTGAATAACTGAAAACTAAATTTTTGTGGCAGCAACTTTTGTGGCAGGTAGGCTCCTTTCCTACTTAGAAAAGTCATCTTAGCACCGAAAACACCATCAAATCTAGCTGGGTTCCTGCCATGCCTTGGGCATGGGAATCAACAAGCTTCCCTCCCACCCCCCCACCCCCTCCCCCCGCCCCCCCCCCAGCCTTCCCCACCCCACCTCAGGATATGAACAGTATTTCCCCTCTGGTAACTTTGCAGTTGGCACCAAGTATTTCTTTTCACTTTTGACTGCAATTCTAGTCTAAATAGTCTCATGGGCTCTGGCTCCAACCCCCTGTCATTCTAATCCCAAGCAGCTGAGATCAGACACTGGGATATCTCTTTACTGGCAGCCCCAGACATGAACTCTGGAAATTGTGGGAAATTCCATTCTTTGGGCACGTAGATCTTCTGACTCCACCACACGAGAGTTTTCCCTGCTGAGTGTAAATGGTACTGGGGTAATATGGAGGAAAGAGTAATGAAAATAGTCCTTTATGTGTATATAGTATTTTAATACTTACAAAATGATTTATATTCATTATCTTATTTTTTTGTCCTAAAAACCCCAGAAAGCAGAGTAGGAAAGTGGTTAAGAGGTATCAAGTCTGGCTTCATATTACTTCATTTGAAACTCAGTTCCAACATTCATCTCTCAATGTCTCAGTTTCCTTATCTATCAGATTTGGGCTGTTGATCTCAAAGCCTTGGTGTAAGGATTAAGTGAGATGATACATGTAAGACACTTAAGGCAGGGCATCTAAAAAAGTTGTTGTTAATTGTTATTATTGTATAAATAAGAAAATCAAGGCCCAGAGAAGCCAAAGAGGGATATTGGACCCGAGACTCAAACCTAAATTATTCTTTCTTTGTGCCTGTTCTGTCTACCCATCTTAGCTACCTCTGAAATCAATACTTTGTGTTGTGTGTAGGTAGCTTTTATCCTCAGGAACTCTGAACCTCTCATCTCATTATTTATTACTTACACTTCCATATGAAGAGACAGAAAACGCAGGGTTTATTATCTCTACAAGTAAAAAGAGGCACAGAAAAGTCCCAGTGACTTAGAAAATCACTAATCACTGTGCTTAATTCTTTTTAGTGTGTACCGAATGCCTGCTTGGAGGAGAAGAGACATGCCATTCTTCTTTTCCCATCTTTCCCTTTTCCTGACTTTCCCTCAAAGAGGACCTTAAGTGACAGAGATTCAGGAATAGGAAAAGTAAATCTAGTAAGTGCTAGGAGGATAGTAGGTACTCTTGTGGCACAGGGCTGTCTCACAAGTGGTGAAAAGGAAGAGTGGTTGAGAGGTAGGGAAGATAAGGCATTCCTTGACAGCACTGGGAAACATTAGCGTACATCCTTATTTGCTGCATGAGCTGTGGCAGGAAGGTGTGTTCCTTCCTTAACTTCATCTAAAATTAACAGCAGAGGTCTTCCTAATTGTGCCACCTATTGGTACATTCGGTTTGTTTCATTATTTGACTTGAGTCCTCTTCATACTGGCCTAGATTCCAAGGAAAGTGGGGATAAGGGGGGAGAATAGATTCAAGAGATGTTTGAGAGAGAGATTTAATCCTAACAAAAACCTTATGAGGCATCAGATGTTGGTTATCATTAGTCTCATGAAGAGAAGTGATTTGCCCGAGGTTGTCAGGTAAACTACAAAACTCGAACCCAGGTCTTCTGATTTCAAGTATAGAGATTATTCCCAAACACCGTGTATCTTCCCCCATGCAGGTAGAAGAATGGTCCAAGTGATTAAAATAGGTGATTAATGTAAAATCTGAGACGGGACATAGGCAGTGGTGCTGAATGTTGGACATTTTACTCATGAAGAGACGCTACAGACTGGGCAGGTTCTCTTTCCCATATGATAACATAAGGAACCATCTTTAGCTTTTTAATAATTCTCTAATATTTGTATTTCATTTAGGCTATCATTTGGAAGCAATGAGTTTAAAACCCTTCACCTACCCGTTTCCAGAGACGAGGTTTCTTCACGCAGGACCCAATGTGTATAAATTCAAAATTAGATATGGCAACAGTATCAGGTAATTTTGAAGCTAAGAGAATAGCCTTTGCAAATACAGGTTAGTACATTCCCACAGGTATCCCTTCTCTACCTTCCCCCTGTCCAGGGGACTGGCTGAATTAGCATCTTGTAGGACTCTGTTTCTCATGTATTTTATTTTATTTTTTTAAGCTTATTTATTTGAGAAAGACAGAGACAGTGAGAATGAGGGAGGGGCAGAGAGAGAGAGGAAGAGGACAAGAATCCCAAGCAAGCTCCACACTGCCAGCAGAGAGCCCAGCACAGGGCTCAAATCCATGAAACTGTGAGATTATGACCTGAGCTGAAACCAGAAGTCAGATGCTTAACTGACTGAGCCACCCAGGTACCCCTGTTTCCCAAGTATTTTATAGTTCATATATTAATATTCATGTAAGTTTCTAAATTAGTGATGGCATACCTTTGGAGCAGTAGTTCTCAAGATTTTTTTATCTCAAGATCTCTTTGCACTCGTAAGATTATCAAGGATCCCAAAGAGTTTGGTTATGTGGGTCATACCTGTCCATATGTATCATATACAGTTTAAAACAGGAAAATTAAAATAACATACTTACTAATTTAAAAATAATATATCATTAGGGGTGCCTTGGTGGCTCAGTCGGTTAAGTGTCCAACTGCAACTTAGGTCATGATCTCACGGTTCGTGACTTTGAGCCCCACATCAGGCTTTGTTGTCAGGACAGAGCCTGCTTCAGATCCTCTTTCCCCCTTTCTCAATGCCTCTCCCCATTTATTCTCTCTCTCTCTCTCTCTCTCTCTCTCTCTCTCTCTCTATCTCAAAAAGTAAATAAACTTAAAACAAAAATAATATATCATTATGCTAAAGGAAATTAGAAAGACAAATATCATATAATTTCACTCGTAGGTGGAATTTAAGAAACAAAACATGAACATAGGGGAAGAGAAGGAAAAATAAGATAAAAACAGAGGCAGGCACCAAGGGATACAGGTGTGCTGTTTCGAAAGGACACATGCACCCCCATGTTTATAACAGCACTATCAACAATAGCCAGAGTATGGAAAGAGCCCAAATGTCCATCCATGGATGAATGGATAAAGAAGATGTGGTGTACATATATAAAATGGAGTATTACTTGGCAAAGAGAATGAAATATTGCCATTTGCAACCATATGGATGGAACTAGAGGGTATTATGCTAAGAGAAATCAGTCAGAGAAAGACAAATATCATATGACTTCATTCATATGAGGACTTTAAGAGACAAAACAGATGAACATAAGGGAAAGGAAACAAAAATAATATAAAAACAGGGAGGGGGACAAAACATAAGAGACTCTTAAATATGGAGAACTGGATTACTGGAGGGGTTGTGGGACGGGGGATGGGCTAAATGGGTCAGGGGCATTAAGGAACCTACTCCTGAAATCATTGTTGTACTATATGCTAACTAATTTGGATGTAAATTAAAAAAAATTAAAAAAAACAGAGGCAGGCAAACCATAAGAAACTCTTAAATACAGAGAACAAATTGAGGGTTGCTGGAGGGGTGTTGGGTGGGGGGATGGGCTAAATGGGTGATGGGCATTAAGGAGGGCACTTGTTGGGATGAGCACTGGGTGTTATATGTAAGTGGTGAATCACCAAATTCTACTCCAGAATCCCTTATGACACTATATGTTAACTAACTTGGATTTAAATAAAATTCTTAAAAATTGCTGAAAATAATGTCGTTAAATGTTAACAAATAATATGTTTTATTAAAAGTAACTATATTTTGGGGCACTTGGGTGGCTCAGTTGGTTGGGTGTCTTGATTTGAGCTCAAGTTATGATCTCATAGTTATGGGATCAAGCCCTGCGTCAGGCTTTGCATTGATGGTGTGGATCCTGCTTGGGATTCTCTCTCTCCCTCTCTCTCTCTCTGCCCCTCTCCCCTCAAAATAAATAAATAAACATTTTTTAAAAAGGTTAACTATATTTTTAAAAAAATTAATGAGGAGATTGGCACTGTTTACATTCCTGGGATAAAGACCCTAGGAATGCAAGGATGGTTCAGTATACAGACATCAGGGGCACCTGGGTGGCTCAGTCAGTTAAGCATCTGACTCGATTTTGTCTCATGTCATGATCTCTCGGTCTGTTACATTGAGCCCCATGTCTGGCTCTGTGCTGACAGCCAGAGCCTGCTTGGGATTCTCTCCCCCTCTCTCTCTGCCCTTCCCCCACTCACTCTCTCTCTCTCTCTCTCTCTCTTCTTTTTTATTTTATTTTTTAATTTTTTTCAACGTTTATTTATTTTTGAGACAGAGAGAGATCATGAATGGGGGAGGGTCAGAGAGAGAGGGAGACACAGAATCTGAAACAGGCTCCAGGCTCTGAGCCATCAGCACAGAGCCTGACACGGGGCTTGAACTCACGAACCGCGAGATCACGACCTGAGCCGAAGTCAGACACTTAACCAACTGAGCCACCCAGGCGCCCCTCTCTCTCTCTCTTAAAATAAATAAGCATTAAATACACACACACACACACACACACACACACACACACACACACACACACAGAAATCAACCAATATAATACACCACAGTAACAGAATGTAAGGGGAAAAAGTCACATGATTATCTTAATTGAGAGAGAAAAAGCATTTGACCAAGTCCAGCACCCTTGCATGATAAAAACACTCAATAAACTAGGAATAGAGGGGAACTTCCTCAATATGATAAAGACCATATATGAAAATCCCACAGCCAGCTTACTCAGTTATGAAAAAGCTTTTCTCTCAAGATGCTCATTTTCACTACTTCCATCCATCATAGTACTTGTTTCTAGCCAGAGCAATTAGTTAAGAAAAAGAAATAAAATACATACAAATTGGAAAGGAAGAAGTGAAACCATCTCTATCTGTGGAAACCATGATCTTACCTGTAGAAAACCCTAAAGAATTCACACACACACACCCCAAAAAAACAAAACAAACAAAAAACCTATTAGAGCTGATCAATGAATTCAGCAAAGTTGCAGGATACAAAATCAACACACAAAATCAGTGGTATTTGTATACACTAGCAAAAAACAATCTGAGAAGAAAATTAATAAAACAATTTCATTTACAGTAGTACCAATAAGAAAAATATTTAGCAATAAATTTAACCAAGGAGATGCAAGACTTGCCCACTGAAAACTACAAAAAGTTGCCAAAAGAAATTGAAGACTTACTAGATATCTATGTTTGTGGATTGGAAGACTTAATATTATTAAGATGACAAAGCAATCTACAGATTCAGTGAAATCCCTATCAAAATTCCAGTGGCATATTTTGCAAAACTGGACAAGCCCATCTTAAAATTCATATGAAATGGAGCATCCAGGTGGCTCAGTGGGTTGAGCATCCATCTCTTGATTTTGGTTCAGGTCATGGTCCCAGGGTCATGGGTTCGAGTCCCACATTGGGTTCTCCACTGAGAAGTGGAGCCTGCTTGGGATTTTCTCTCTCCTCCCGCTCTCTCTCTTAAAAAAAAAATCATGGAATTTCAAGAGACCCTGAATAGCCAAAATAATCTCGATAAAGAACAAAATTGGAAGACTCCTACTTCCCAATTTAAGAACTTGCTACAAAGCTACAGGTAACCCAAAAAGCTACAGGTAATGGCATAAGAACAGCTTACAGACCATAGAATAGAATTGAGAGCCCAGAAATAAACCTTCACATTCACATCTTTGGTCAATTAGTTTTTGACTAGAATGCCAAAACTGTTCAATAGTGGAGGAACAGTGTCTTTAACAAATGGTTCCGAGAAGAATGGATATCCACATGCAGAAGAATGAAGTTAGACCCTTATACTGTACACAGAACTTACAAAAAATAGATCAAAGACTTAAATTTAAGAGCTAAAACTATAAAACTCTTAGGAGAAAACATAGGTGCAAATCTTCATGACTTTGAATTTGGCAGTGGTTTCTTAAATACCATACCAAAAGCATAGGCAACAAAAGAAAATTCAATAAATTTGGACTGCATTAAATTTTTAAAAATTGTGCATCAAAGGACACTATCAACAGAGTGCAAGGGCAACTCACAGATGGGAGAAAATATCTATAAATCACATATCTGGTAAGAGTTTAATATCCAGAATATAGAAAGAAGTACAACTCAGGGAACCTGGGTGGCTCAGTCTGTTAAGCATCCGACTCTGGATTTTGGTTCAGCTCATGATCTCATGGTTTGTGAGTTTAAGCTCCAAGTCTGGCTCTGTGCTGACAGTGCAGAGCCTGCGTGGGATCTCTGTCTCCCTCTCTCTGTCTCTCTGCCCCACACTGCTTGTGCTCTCTCTCTCAAAAATAAACACTAAAAATAAATAAATGAACATTAAAAGAAAAGAAGTACAACTCAAAAACAACAAAATAAACCAGTTTAAGAATCTACAAAGGCTGGGGTGCCTGGGTGGCTCTTTTAGGTGACCAACTTCAGCTCAGGTCTTGATCTCGAAGTTGGTGAGTTTGAGCTCCCCATGGGGGTCTGCACTGACAGTGTGGATCCTGCTTCAAATCCTCTGTCTCCCTTCTCTCTCTCCCCTCCCCCGCTTGTGCACACGCTCTCTCTCTCTCCCTCTCTCAAAAATAAACATTTAAAAAATAATAAAAATGGACAAAGTATTTAAATAGACATTACTTCAAATGAGATACACAAATGGCCGATAAGCACGTGAGAAGATGCTCAGTATCCTTACACCAGGGACATGCAAATCCAAACCTTAATGAGATACCACTTCACACCTACTTGGATGGGTATTAAAAAAAAAACAAAAAACCCAGAAAATAACAGTTGGCAAGGATGTGGAGAAATTGGAAGTCTTGTATAGAACTGATGGGAATATAAAATAGTGCACCTGCCATGGAAAACAATTTGGCAGTTCCTCAAAAAGTTAAACATAGAATTACCATATAACACAGCAATTTCATTCCTAGGTATATGCCCAAAAGAATTGAAAACAGGGAGTCAAGCCGATTCTTGTACAACAATGTTCATAGCTGTATTATTCATGATAGAAGATGGAAACAGCCCAAGTGCCATCAAGTTGGTGAATGTATAAACAAAATGTAGTTATATGTGTGCTGTATACATATATGCAATAGAATATTATTCAGCTACTAAAGAAATTGCAAAAGAAATGAAGTTCTGATACCTGTACAACATGGATGAACCGCAAAAACATTATGCTAATTGAAATAATCCAGGAACAAAAGGAAAAATATGATTCTACTTCTATGAAATATTAAACAGGAAAATTCATAGAGACAGAAAATAGATTAGGGGTCACCAGGGGAGGGGTGGAGGGGAGAATGAGGAGTTATTGCTTAATGAGTACAGTGTTTCTGTTTGGGAAGATAAGCTTTGGAAAAATAGTGGTGATGGTTGTACACCATGGTTCTGAGTCTAATTAATACTGCTGAATTGTATACTTAAAAATGGCTAAAATGGCAAATTTTAGGTTATATATATTTTAGCACAATTTTAAAATGTATTAGTTAATTTAAAATAATGTATCCATTAAGTGTTAACACATTTTTATTAAAAATAGCTAATTTTCAAAGACAAAAAAATTAATGAGAAGATTGGCATTGTTTTAAATTTTTGCAAATCTCATTAGTCTGGCTTAATAGAAAGCTGATAGATTATATCTGCTTCTGCATTCAGTCTGTTTTTTTTGGTTGAATTATATGAAAAAAATCCAGCCCCACATAGATATGTAGTTGGGGAAGGTAGAAATGTGTTAATAGCCTTCACAGATTATTGTGGGCATTCTTTGACCCTACATTAAAATTTAAGAAGTGATAGTTTTTTTGTTTGGTTTTGTTTAATGTGGTACTTTATTATTTTTTTTTTTAATTTTTTTCAACATTTATTTATTTTTGGGATTTGTGGTACTTTTTTAAAAGTTAGTTGCAATATGGAATCTGAAATTCTATCAGTGAACTTTTTGAACTCTGCTGTATTAAAATCTGTCTTGTTCTGGGAGTGAATCTTTTACCTAGGATGATTTGTAACATAACGTGTTTCATTGGTCATTTGGAAAATATAGGTTGACTGACTTATATAGATAATCCAAATGTCAACACACTTCATTATATAATATCAAAAAATCATATCTGTTAATATCACGATCAATCTTAGAAAAGTGTTTTAAGTTTTTGAAACTTGTCAATCTCACTGTGGTGGATTGAGTTTTCCAAAGTTCAAATTTTGCTTGAAATCCCAAAACTCATCATTGGCACAAATAAATACTGTCAGTTGTTTTGCTTGAATTGATAAGCTCACTATTCATTTTTGAGGAAATGTCACATTTCTAAGTCTGTATAATGACTATAGTTTGTTAGCTGATCATTGAAGTAAAATACCATTCCATGAAAAGCAGCTAGTTTAATCTGCAACTTTAACAGTTAGTTGCCCAAGTGCTTTTCCTCAAGACACCCATCATATTTCTGTATGCAGCAGAAGTACTTAATGAATACTTCCCATTTTATCACATAGTGTATTAAAAAGACATGTATTTAAGGGTTGAGATTTTATAAAATTATTAATTTTTTTCTTGCTTCCTCAAATATATTAAATGAAGCTGGATTTTTTTTTCCTGTGTGGCAGTCAAGATTACCACAACTGCTAGTACAGTTTAGTGTAACTAGCTAGATTTGTGCAAAGGCACCAGCAATTTTGCCCTCCGTTGCTTTTGTACTAATGATTACAAATGTTAACACAGCAAGGGAAAAAAAGGCAAATAACGTCTTATTATTAGTATAAAAAGAGTTATGCCTTCAAGAACACTTGACAGGGGCTTGAGGATGCCTGGTGGTCCACAGACTACACTTGAGTACAACAAGTCTAACAAATTATTAACTTAATTTCAGGTCTTGGCAAGTTAATGGGGAAGATATTTTGGAACAACCTTCTACCAGTTCTCAGACCATACCACCTACGTGATCACTTCTTCCCATGAGCTGTTGGTCAACACACACGATTCTTACTTAGTCATGTTTCTGTAGCTCAGTGGAAGTGTCATTTTTGCTCTTCTGTCTACTCTGTACTGACAGTAGAGTCTAGCGTCTTCAGAGCTTTCCTTCTCAGCTTATTTATCTCTTGTTTGTTTACCTTCTAGAGGGGAAGAGATAGAAGATAAGGAAGTCATCCTCAAGGAGCTGGAGGTAGGGGAAAAAGCAGACAACTTCTGGGAAAGTTATTCTTTAAGCCAAGGATGCGTCCATATCCAGCTTTTAATTATTTCCTGTGAACTGAGTCACAACCTCCACTTGATCACTTGGCTTCTCCCTGCCGTAGTTCCTCTGCAAAGAAACTTAACTGCTTTTCCAAGGAAATTAAAGCCTGTATCCTTTCTCAGTTCTTCTAGTTGAAGTGTCAGCACCTTTGAGGCTTAGAGTTCTATTGTTTCCACCAGAGTTCCCAGCCCTCTGCAGCTCTCTTCTGTGGTGGCTGGCATGGAGAAAGCTTCTGGAGGACTGCCGCCTTCCAAAGCTCTGGGAAGCCTCACCCTCCCAACCACTGCCTGGTACTTGACGTTCAGGAAACTCAATTGTAAATACACATACTAGACTGCTGTGTCTTCATTTTAATTGGAAACATTTGCAATTGCTTTATTCCCACTTCATTTTCATTCCTCCTTTACCCAGCCTTACTTAGGTTCTCCCACAGGAGAAACACTGAGCAAGTGAACAGCTTTGTGAATTGGTGAACGCGTTGGGCAAGGAGTCAGAGCTCTGGGCGCTGGCCTTGGATTCCAGCCCTGGCTGAGCCACTGATTAGCAGTGCGAACCCCAGCAAATCATTTCTGTCTCTTGGTCTTAATTGCCTTATTCATAAAATGAGAGTTCTAAACTAGTTTATTTCTCTTCTGACTTCACAACTCAGTGATTTGGGACCGTTCAGATTTATAAAGACATACACTGTCATATTTCAAGGAATTTGAATACAATGAAATATACAAACACAAAACTCTATGAAACCAAAAATTTGAGTCCTAGCCTTAAAGGTATCTATAGCTCTTGGCTAAGTGTTGAAGGTACCTTAGAATCTTGTGGGAGATCAGAGACATTGTTATAAATAACAATTATTTTAATAATAGAACCATGAGAGTTTTCTGCTTATTTTAATTGTAAGTAGAGCAGAGTTTATTTCACTTTGCTTCAGTTAACATGGGCAGAGAAAAGTGCAAGGCAGTATCTAGCAAAGTGGAGAGACCATAGACCTCAGAGCCAGTCACACCTAGATTTGAGTTAAGTTCTGCCTTCACGATGGGACTTTTGGGCAAGTTACCTACCTTCTCCAAGCCTGCTTCCTTACCTGTCAGTGAGGTTGATAAACAGTACTTGTTTTCACGATTGTGGTGAGGGTTAGAAATAGATGTGTGCAGTGCCTGCCACACAGTAGCTCAGTATGCGGTAGCTAGGGAGCATTTATATACATTTATAACCAAAGTTTTCAAGGTGCTTTTTCTGTGTTCTTGCTCTCAGCTTTCAGGCAGATATTCTCATCTTCTTTTACTCAGAAAACATTTGTTGATAGGCATTGTGCCTAATGAATGGTTAAGAGAGTAAGCCCTGGAACCCCATTGCCTGGAACCCCATTGTTCATATCTTGGCCCCCTCCATTACTCCCCCATTACTAAGAAAGGGCATTTCAGGCAGAGGGAACAGAGCACAGAAATGGAGGATCAGAAGGCATGTTCAGGGAACAGCACATAGTTCAGCTTTAATAGAATGAAGGGTTTGCAAAAAGCAGTGACAGGTGTAAATGGACAGATTGGCTGGGACTAGACAATATTAAACTCATTTCAGATTTTTTTTCCAGGATTCTATTCGTGTGGTCTTGGGAAACTTGGACAATCTGCAGCCATTTGCTACAGAACACTTCATTGTATTTCCCTGTATCCTTTCATTTCAGGATAGAAATAAGCTGCAGGTCACACTATAGATTCAAATGGAAGCAGCAGACTCGTAGGACAGGGAAGGGCAAGGGTCTTATCCCTAGAATAGTACTCAGGGATTCGTACTGACTGCTTTCTTCACTCCTTAGCACCATTTCTCAGATAAAAGCAAATGGGAAAGAGTGTCCCACTTGAAATTCAAATATGGGGAAATCGTCTTGGCCCCCTATCCATTTGTTTTTACTCTGTATGTGGAGATGAAATGGTTTCATGAAAACCTGTCACCTGGTAAGTAGAATGATGGAAGTTTTAGTGGTGGAGGAGAAATAGGGAAGGTTGAATGTCCATGGGTTAGCATTGCAAGGTCAGTATGGCAAAATGGCCAGCCTGACTGGGCCCTAACGCCACACAGTGTAGAGGTTAGGAGCAAGTGCTCCAAGCCAGACGGCCTGGTTCAAATCCCAGTGGTTTTGCCACTTGAGAGCTGTGTGACCTTAGATGAGTTACTTAATCTTTCTGTGCCCCCTTTGTGAAATGGCGAAGGATAATAATAGCACCCATCTCACTGAGTTGTTAAAAATATATATATATATATATATATATATAAATTATACATATTAATAAACAAAGTCTGACTGACAGTAATCACTCAGTGAAAGAGATCTCTTATATAAAAATACTTCCTTCCATTTTAGAGTATTCAGTGACTTTTACATTAGCGGTATCTTAAAGGCATCTCCAGGTTTTTAATCTCTGAAGGCCATTGCTATTTTTACTCATAGAGGGACAAATAGATACCTGCCAGTTTGATTTGGAAAAGAGTGCAAAGGCCTTGCCTCAAAGTATCTCCCCAATTCATTTGTCACTGATGTCTGAAGTTCTACCTTTTTTCTTTTTTTCTTCTTAAAATTTTTTTTAATGTTTATTTATTTGTGTGAGAGAGAGACAGACAGACAGAGTGTGAGCAGGGGAGGGGCAGAGAGAGGGAGACACAGAATTGGAAGCAGGCTCCAGGCTCTGAGCTGTCTGCACAGAGCCCGACACGGGGCTTGAACTCACAAACTGTGAGATCGTGACCTGAGCCAAAGTCGGACGCTTAACCGACTGAGCCACCCAGGGGCCCCTACCTTTTTTCTTTTATACTAAGGATCATTCCCTTTTAAGTGGCATATCATTAGAATATAATATAAATGTAGTATGTTTGACCTTGTAGATGACAATAGTTCTTTAAGTCTAAAAAATAGGGGAAGAGAGTTTGAAGACCCCAGATTTCTAGCAAAAGTGGTACCAGGCAGAAAAGGGAAAAGGCATACATAGAGCTTTTTGTCTACGACCAGTTGTAAGAAATAAGTGGTAGCCAGAAATCCAGGTGAAACAGCATCTTGATCCATTATAACCTTCAAATTTCCATTGTAGGGAAACCAATAAATGACAGTCCTCTTGGATTGGTAAGTTTGCCTTTTCTATACAAGATGAAAATCGCCTTTATTGCCATGTCTTGTCCGAAAAGTCCTGCTCTTGTCTCTTCCTCTTACTTTGCCCCTTGGTTGCTGCCCCGGTCCAATCAGAATTGTATACACGAGACCATCTTTTTCCTCTTGGCTAAATTTCTAAGACTGTCTCTAACAACGATATCTAGCCTCACTTGCGAAGCTGGTGTTAAAAGTTGCTGTAGGCAATTTCTAGATGGGGAGTTCTCTTCACTGTGCCCTCGTGAGCAGGTCTGGAAAAGGAGTCACAGGAGTCTGGTTCCTCTCTGAAGGTGCCGGCCGAGACGAAAGCAGCAGGAGCCATGATGAGGAAACGAGCGCGAGTGGAAGTACCCAGCCCCCTGCACAGGCCAGAGCTGGACAGGTCAGTGGTGTTGGGAGAGAGTTGAAATCCTGCATCCTCATTAGGCTTTGCCAACTATTGCTGCTGGCCGATCTTGTCCTTCGCTGAGTCACTTTTTGTCTTCAGCCTACATTGGTACCTGCTTATTTCCGGGGGTGGACTAAGGGAAGGAGACACGTTGATGTTTGCAAAGTATTTTGAACACAGTTCCTTCCTCGGCAAAGTGGGAGTCTTCTGCTCATCAAGACAGTGACTATGAGGAAAGGCGATCACATCTATGTACAATTGAATCCAACACATACTCAGCACTCAGTATGGTCACACTACCAGAAGGCCCAAGACTTAAGAAGTCCTAGCATATTATATAAGAACACAGAAAAATCCTCAAGAGAGAAAAAAATAAAATAAAATTCTATTTTACCTAGTAAGCAGTGAAGTTTTTTGGAAATCTGCCTTTAAGAGAGAATGTGAGCTAAAATGTAAATACGTACAAGAGGGTATGTATCAGTCAATGGGTGAAATACTGCAATATTAGGGTCAATGTTGAACATATCCTTAACATGTTGAAGTTGCTGTTGTGGAGGCTACTTACTTTATTCTTTACAATCTGTCAGGGACAGAGTGAATCAGTAAAGATAAGATAATTCAGTCATTCTTAACTTGCACCCAGAGAGGGCAGCTGGAATAATCCAAGGTGTGGTTTGCTCCCCAGCCCAAAGTGCTTTCAGCCCATGTTCCCAGAGAGCAGCTGCTTCTTTCCTGGGGTCGTGTGGGCAAACAGTTCCGTGAGGGAACTGAGGCCTCTACCCTCCACATGCACATGTCAGGGAAGAGTCAGGAAACTTCTTTCCCAGACAGGTGGAATGTGAAGGTACTTGGAGGTGTGAAGCTTTGCTCTGTTCTATTTGACTGAATTTTCCATGGAGATGAGGCCTCACATCTTCCCTTTCTCTGGGTTTTGATGCAGTCAAGTATTTCAAAATCTGATTACCTGCTGTCAATCACATTTTCCCTTTCTCAACCCCTAGATCCTTAAATGTTTCAAATTGGGATTCTGCTGTGAATTAAAGCAGCACCCAAAGAAAATTTGGCCACGCAATTTATTCCGTAGGCCAGGAGTGGTATAAAAATAGCCAACCTGCTGAAATATTCATTTAGGCCACATTTGCTTAAATGTGATGTTGCTGCTGCCAGTAACATTTCCTGGGCTTTTTTCCCCACCTCAGGGCCAAGATGGGGATTTCCAGCCAAGGCCCCAGCAAAAAGAGGCCCCTTATGGAAACCAGGAGGGTAAGCACCAAAATGGAGTCTGCAAGGCTTTTGGCTGTTCCTGTTCTGTAACAAGTCATAATTCCTGTTACCAGCACATTTTGGTCCTAAATACAGACTGAACTGACTGAACTCATTCTCAGGTTTCACCATCTGCAGAATAACATTCAGCCACTCTACTTCTGCCACAACCTGTCCCAAAAGTAGCCACATAATACACACATCGATGAATCCTTTTGTTAAAAGGCCTTTTCTTCTCAGCTTAAAAAGCTGCTTCTTTTACTCTGCAGTGAGAGAAGAAAATAGGTCTGTTGAATCGGGGTGGGATCTGGTATAGAATTTTTTCGTTTTAGAAAACTTTTTGCCTTCATCTGCACCGGGGTCTGAGTCTGGGAACATCTAGTTTTTATAGACAAGCTAGGCATACATCAGCATGGGATACTGGTAAGAGAAAACTTCACTTAGAGCAGTGATGGGCTGGCCCCAGTGGCATTTGATTTCATTTGTGAGGTTTATTCCCCATTTAGATATTCATTTACCTGCTACTCTTGCATTTCAGGGCTTCTTTTTTAGTAGCCTGTGGAAGAGTCCTCTTTTTCTTTTCTTCCCCTCTTGAAATAGCTGTTATTTGTGCCTTTTTCTTACTTTCCGCTTATCTCTCCAAAGTAGCTCTGACCTTAAGTATTTAAAGTTACTTAAGGTCACACTCCCTGTTCACCTCCCTCGCCTTCCCAGAACCCGTAGCATGATCAGTTATGCAGTAAGTATCTGTAAAACATGTGCATTTATTCGACAAACTGACTGCGTGTCTGCTGTGTGCCAAGTACTAGAGATCTCCTGCTCTCCCCTAAAAATGCCAACTGTGTAAAAAGCTAGGCAGACAATTATTGATAGATGTGCTACGTGCAAGAATAAAGGAAACAAAGGGACCACAAAGGAGAACCTCACCCAAACCAGGTGGATGGGAGGGAGGCTTCTCAGAGTAGCTCAGAGAACTAAAGCCAAGAGGAACGAATATAGTGCTTTTGGTGACTGCAAGCCAGTGCACCTGGAGCTTAGAGTACAGTGCTAAGAAATGTTATTGGAGAGATCAGCACAGGCTGGATCTTGAAAGACTTAAGGGCAACTTCAAGATCACAGGCTTTCCCCTAAAACATTTTTTAAGTAGGAAAGTAAAGTGATTTTCATTTCTATATGATTATTCTGCCTCCTGTTTGCAAGGTATTGTGTTAGGTGCTGGGGTGCACCCAAACATGTAAAACATGGTTTTTCTTGCAGGAATTTATTGTTTAGTTAGGGAAAGAGAGAACCCTTAGGGACTCAGTCCTCTGGCTCCGTGGGTAGGGGCAGGGTATAGGACCCATTATGCCATGGCCACCTGGCCCACTGAGTGATTGTAGACAGATGATTACCCTCTTCTATACTTCTATCCTTTCAAGAGGGAAGAAAAAGAAATGAGAAAGTACAGGAGGGGTACATGAAGCTCTGAAGAACAAAGACGCTTTATACAACCAAGATAATTACTATTAAAAGAACAGTTCCCTCACTCTCTATCCTTCATACCTTCCTATTCTTAGTTTGACACATCATCTCCCTCAAGAACAGTACCCACAGTTTCTTACTCAACATAATTACCTTTTCAACCTGATACTGGGTTTAGAAAAAAACTCTGAGCCCAAAAAAAAAAAAAAAAAAAAAAAAAAAAACACCGAAACAAAACCCAAAAGGAACATGTTTATTGATTTTGACTCAAAGCCCAATGACAGTCTCCATTGTAGACCCTGTTCCCAGAAAGAGGATTTCTCTTGAATTAGAGTGATCATAGTGGCTCTCAGTGTAAGTCACTTGAGATGGAAAAATCGAATTTGCTCCTATGGTCCAATGCTTAATATTTTCTCTCCCCTTTGGGGAACTCAAGATGTAGGGTCACAGTCAGTGTGGACTGTCATGTCTTAACAGGACACCACTGGGAGCTGATACAGGGAAAGCTTCGAAGAACATGGCTCATATCTAAATAAGGTCTCTGTTTCATAAGAGGTGTTTTGGGGAGAATGGGAAGGAAAGGCAGACCCATTCCCTTTATTACTCGAGGTGCCAGACTAGAGATCCAGACTTTGTAAGGACAAAAAGGGGGAGAGCAGATGTAAAACAGACTGCTGTGTGTGTGTAGCGTTTTTTTTTTTTTTTTTTTGCCACTTCTGCTTGAACTGCTTGAACTTTTTTTAAAATTTCTTTTTTTTTTTTTTTAATTTTGAGAGAGAGCGTGAGCCAGGGAGGTGCAGAGACAGCAAGGGATAGAGGATCTGAAGCAGGCTCTGCACTGACAGCAGAGAGCCCAATGTGGGGCTTGAATTCAAGAGCCACAAGATCATGACCTGAGCTGAAGTTGGACGCTCAACTGATTGAGCCACCCAGGTGCCCCTTGAACTATACTTTTAAGCAGATCTGGCCCTGAACATATAGAGGACAGTTTTGTGTTGGGTTGTCGTATATTATTATGTCTTGTTGGATGTCCCAGATGGTACCATCAGTTTAATTTCAGGCTATGTTTTTCTTTTCTTGTGACATTTTCCTGAGGAGACATCTGTCAAGATTTTAGGAGAACACAAATGCTAACCTATATTGTGAGGGGAATCTGCCCTGGTTGAGAGATCTTTACCTCTGTCCCAGGGCCTTTGAACCCTTCTATTCCCCACTGCCACCCTTAGTAGATGCTTTCATTAGAGCCAATGCAGCAGAATTTAAGCTCCAAACCATAGTTTCATTAAATTTGTAAGAGTCATTTTCTCAAGCTAGAAGTTAGAGCTGTGCCCTCTCAATTCCATCTCCACCCTGTGGTGGACTGCAAGCCATTGCACGTGGAGACTTAGAAGAGGTAAGAGTTCCCCTTCACTTTTATAGCAGTATGACCCAGGTAGCAGCCTATGTGTTCCGGAAATTGAGGGTTTATGGAAATGTTTATCTTAGAAATACAACTCATGCTTAAGATGGAGGCTACATCCTAATTTCTTTCTTTCTTTTTTTTTTTTTCATCCTAACTTTCCTAGAGGCTTATCATACCTCTGCCTCCCAGACCCACCTTGATAGTCCACAGCCCCTGGCTGTAGAATTCTTCACCAGCACAATGGCTCAAGGAACTTCCCAGCACTGCTAAGGTAGTCAGGCCCTTTCCAGGTGAGGGGAGTGGCCAGTTAGCAGAGAGTCCCAAAGAAAATATATGAACCATGATTCTGAATACTGGGGTATCAACTGGAAATGTGGGCTTGGAACCAGGTTATAGGATGTCCTCCTCAAAGTATTAAAAGAAGTTCTGTAGGGGCTCCTGGGTGGCTCAGTCGGTTAAGCGTCCAACTTTGGCTCAGGTCACGATCTCACGGTCCATGGGCTCGAGCCCCGTGTCGGGCTCTGTACTGTCGGTTACAGAGCCTGGAGTCTGCTTCGGATTCTGTGTCTCCCTCTCTCTTTGCCCCTCCCCAACTCATGCTCTGTCTCTCTCAAAAAATGAATAAACTTTAAAAAAAGAAGTTCTGTAAAGGAGTAGCCCAGGGAGAAGACTGAGTTATAGTGTGCTGCCTGCTTATGCCATAGTCATATTTCCACTACCCCAGCTCTAGCCACACTCATCTTTTTAGTTGTTAAAGGTAGTGCCTCCTATACACCGTGTCCCTGTCTAAAATGCCCTGCTCTCTCTGACCGTCTCTTCACCCCCATTATGATAAAATTTCACTCATCTGTCAAGACCCCATTCAAATAGCACTTTCCCTGCGAAGTCTTCCTTGACTAACCACCAACCAACAAATAGCATCCTGCCCACCAAGATGTATGGGAGTCGAGTTTAAAACTTTTCTTGGTCCTCTTTTTATCAGAACATGGAAAGAAAAAACAAGCAGAAATGTCAGGAGAGCCCAACGTTTGATATCACTGATGTCCAGGAACAGGGTAGGTTCTGGGAAATTTATTCTCTTTTAATAATCATCCTGACCTCTTTCGTTCTCTGATGAGCAGAGCAACACAGAGCTGAGTCTGGGCACACTTGCTGGGTGATATACCTGCTCCCATGAAGACTCTTGTTGGCCATCCTCTGGTGTGGGGGCCTGCCCTCGAATCGTAAAAGCTCCCTCAGCTTCCAAGAGAAGTGAGAGGAAACGATGCAAATGATGGTGCAAATGATGGTGAAATTGATGTTTCAATTGATGTCCTTCCTGTGCAAATGATGGTGAAATTGATGCTCCCACTATTTGAAAACAGTTCTATACGGGTGATAAGTTTTACAGAAAAGTTGGGAGGGATGTGTTTCACTGTTCTGTCTCGTTGGAGAATAATCTCTGGGAAGCTGTCTTTCCTCCTCTTCCCTTCAGGGCATTAATGTGAATATTGGAGGTGCAGTAGATGTTCAGCAAAGGCTGGAAATGCTTGTTAAGATGTCCAGCATGAGGATTCAGTATGGATTGTAGTTATCACAGATGCAGGGATGTAAGCACATGAGTTCTTCAACAAGTTGTCATTCCATGAGAAAACATCATGGTGGGTGGCTAGGACTTAAGCCGTGTAAAAATCTCAGGGGCCCAATTAAAAATAGTCCAAGGTCAGAGTAGTATCTTACTGGGCTGAGATGAAATTGGGAAGGTCTCAACAAACAGTTTGGCTAGCTTCGAACAGATGGTGTGAGGCTGCCCTTGGCCCATACTAGATGTCCTGTGAAAGTCCCTGGGCTAATACCTTTTCCCTGCCTGAGTGTTTTCCTTGCAGATTCTAAGCTGGGGGACAGCCTAGTGGGACAGATCATCCCCCCATTGCAGCAAGACAATCCATCTCCACCGGAAAGACCCGCAGAGCTGGCAACCAATGGCTTCTTTGGGTTTCTAAGGTAGGATGGATTTCTCTCCTGTCATTAAACTGAGACCCAGAGCAGTCTAGCTCCAGAGTCTGCCTCATTGAATCTTTTGGGGAAATTAGAAAAGCAAGCAGATTCCCCACATAATCTCTATTTTTCCCGGGATACAGGATGGAAATGAGACAGCACGAGGGCCCTAACTGAATTTAATAAAGACCGTGTCTTGTTCGCTTTTACACATCCCACCCCACCCCACCCCAGTGTGCCTAGCATTGGACCTTGTCCCATAAATGCTGCTTAAACAGAGCCTGTTCTTACCGTTAGGTCATTCAGATGCTTCGGTTACCAAAATGTTTCCATTCTCCTCTCTGAATCTAGGCTGTGTCTTCAGAGTCCTTTTTGCGGAAGACAATTAGCAAATCCCTTTATCCATCTAGAGCTCAGCCATCCCATTGAATTCTCCTTCATGTGTCCCTCCTGAGTATAATTGAATTTGGGTACCTTTTCAAATGCTGTTCCAGACTTGAATCCATTCAGTGGTTCCCTGAAGCCAAAATGTCCTAGCTAATGGAGCCCTAATGGGACTGGGAGAAGGGAGGGACCTCTAGAATCTCAAGCCACTCTGTTCTCCTTCCTGCAGCTCTCTCTTCCCCTTTCGTTATTTCTTCGGAAAGAGCAGCCGGTGAGTCTTCCAGATGCAGCAGTGGGAAGAGCGTCCTCTCGCAATGACTCTTCCCGTTCCACCCTCCATGCATGACATTTCAGTCAAGGGGAACGTGGGCCCTAAACCCTCTGAGTCCTCTTGTGGGTTTGTCCTATCCTTTGCCTCTTTACAGTGGATTTTTTTTTTTTCTATTTAAAACACTAAGAAAAGAACTTCCTAAAATGTTCTAGTCTGAGAATTGTACGCTCTGAGGGCCAGTTTAGGTCTTTCGTCTCCAGCACTTAGGATCCTAATGAAAATAAATTATTTACGAAGAGTTATTGACTGAATTTCATGAAGTAGAGAGAGAGAAAACTTCTCCCTGAAGATACAGGGAAGCAATGCCTGAAACCTCCCCTGGGTCTGCCTGGTCCTTGTTGGTGGGATGCTTTGGGTGGGTGGGGTCTGCACCTGACCGCAAACTTTAGCCTCCCTGCCGGGGCCTAGGGAATGAAGTTTGTAAGACTCAAGAGCCCCACAGACCCCCAAGACATCATCTGTCCCCAGTTCACCCAGTTTGGCCCCAAAGTGCACCCTCAGTGCATAAATGCTTTCCACTCACCTACCCCTTCTGGCTTTTGATAGGAGAACAGTTTAGCTTCTCAGGTCAACTGCAGGTCAGCCCAGGTTAGGGCCCCTGGAGAAGCCCAGGGCACCCCAGCTCTGACTTCATGTAACCCAGAGGCTGGTCTGGGACAGACAGATTAGACTTGTGTTGTGTGGCCACAGAAGACCAAATGGGAATTTAGGGAAACTCAGTTTAGCTCAGAACAAAGGGTTCTAACTGTTACAAATGTCCAGTATTAGAATGGGCCACCTTGTGAGGTAATGAGTCCTTGTCACCTCTAGTCTTTAAACAGAGCTGACGGTCCATCAGATGCTAAAAGGTTCCCATGATTAATGGCAGTGTCGGGGCTGGAATGCCTAGGTCCCTTGCAGGCCCCTTGTTAGGCTGCCTCACCCTGGATGGGGAGAAGAGGTGGATGCTGTGGACATGCCCAGGTCCTGAGGAGAGAAGTGGAACTGGAGGATTAAGGACAAGTTGCGTTTACGGCCTTTGCCCTATGGTCCCAAACATGGCCCGCTTTATAAAGCTGCCGAAGGCACACTGCAGAACCTAGCGAAGTGAGCGCCATTCTGACCCTGAGTAGCTTATGGTGAAGCCTTGGTAAAGTCACCTTCCTCTCTGGTTCTGATTTTCTCATCTGAACACCGAAGGGGAGATCCAGTGAGCTCTCGAGCACCTTCAGGCCATGGCAGTCTGTGTGGCCGGCTCTGCCTTTCTGAGCAAATCAGTGAAGTAGTGGCCCTGGGGTGTAAGGGGCCAAATCACCATAGGCTTCTTCCTGATGTCCTGCAGCTGCTGCTGATGGGGAGCTTTTCCAACTTGCCACATTCTTGCCCCAAGTGTAATTTAGCACCATGTGTGGACGGTAGATTTAGCCTGATGTTAACTAGCCGTGTGACTTTTAGTAGCTTTCCTTCTCGAAGACTTAGCTGCTTTACCTGTAAGACCAGAGCCAGAGCTGGACTAAACAATGGGATTTACTGGGGTTGACAGCTCCAGACTGTTCTAGGAGTCAGGACCCTGTCGTTCAGGAACTAAGGGGATCCCCGCTCTGTGGCTGACCCCCAGGATGAGAAGTCATCCACCTGACCGTGCAAGTGAGGCTCTAAAGATGGACTTAGCACCCTCCGTTCCCCCCAACTCTGCCACCAAGCATATCTCAGGAGGCCCTGACTGGGGTCATTTCCCTTGTCCCTCTGCAGTGGCTAAAGGATAACCTGGGAGGAGCTTAGGAGCTTTAAGTTCGGGGTGGCAAGGTCCCGAACAGGGGAATGTCCTGTCCACGGTCACACGGCAAAGAAGAGAACCCTCAGCCCACAACTCGGCCCGGTCTCGAGCCCTCTCTCCCCAGCTGCCCACAAGCCACCCATTCCACCAGTCTGTGGGCTTTTTTCCACATCTCCCTTCCCCCAGCCCTGGACCTCAGACAGCAGAAAGCGGCAGAAGCCATTCTCTGAGGACCGCACCTCAGAGGAGAGCTGGATCTCCCAGGTGGGATTTGCTCTAAGGCCTCTGGCAGGGAGGCAGGCATGAAAGCTGATCCCCGAGAGGGCGTGGCTCTGGAAAGCTGGCAAATAAAAATCCGGAGAGCCAGCACCGTCTGGAGACCCACAGAGGACCTGAGGAACCCGCTCGGCCAGCCACTCAGTTCCTGGGCCTTGGAAGTGGTAAGCCTCCTGAGGCAGGAGGAGCCCGGGGAGGACCTGGGGACTGCGAGTGGGGCAGATGGAGGGAGGCAGATGTTTGTGCTCCGATGGAAGAAGAAATTCCAGGGGAGAATCACTGCAGCGAGCTGACAGCTGCTCACACTCCCACCCAGCAAGAGAGACCCCCAGGCAGACACACACATGCGCCCAAAGACGGATACAGGGAAAAGACAGCCCCGCTCACAGGCTTGCCTCACCCCAAGCAGAACGAGCGGCCCAACCCTGGCTCATTCACCTGGAGGCACACAGTAAAGAGGCCCCCCCCCCCCCCGCACGCTGATCTAGAGCCCGCTCTTTGCCCGCTGTGTTTCAGATACCCATGGCATCCCCCCACATGCTGCTCCTCTGCCTGCTGGTCCTGGCAGTCCCCGAAGGCTGGGGTCGGCAGGTGGCCGTCCCAGGCTGCCACTTGCACCGTGAGTAACCGCGGGAGCAGAAAGCTGGGTGGGAGCAAACAGCTGATGGACTGGACCGAAGGTCAGGCAGCACCCTCAGCGGACCCCCCTGAGGTTCCCGCAACAGGAGCTAGGCGAGGCTTTGCAGAGGCTCCGTCTGCCACTTGCCCGTCTCCTTCTAGCCTTCAACGTGACCGTGCGAAGTGACCGCCAAGGCACCTGCCAGGGCTCCCATGTGGCACAGGCTTGTGTGGGACACTGTGAGTCTAGCGCCTTCCCTTCCCGGTACTCTGTGCTGGCGGCCAGTGGCTATCGACATAACGTCACCTCTGTCTCTCAGTGCTGTACCATCAGTGGCCTGAAGAAGGTGAGAAGGCCTAGCCCAGTAGTGGCTCGTTGGGGGTGGGGAGAGACCAGAGGAGATGGGGATCTAAGATGGCCCAAGGAAGGCGAATGGAACATGGACCCCCTTCTCCCACAGGTAAAGGTGCAGCTGCAGTGTGGGGGGGACCGGAGGGAGGAGCTGGAGATCTTCACGGCCAGGGCCTGCCAGTGTGACATGTGTCGCCTCTCGCGCTACTAGCCCCTCCCTTCCCTTCCTCCTTCCCCTTGGTCAGAGGGTTTGAGTTGGAGTATATCCCAAATATCCTGAGCCTCGTTGAGGACAACAGCTCCAGCTCTCTTAAGAGTCCGTGATTGTCACCTCCAGAGAAGAGGGGAGTTTCTCTCTCTCCCCTGCCTCTGCCTGGCCTCGTAACCAGCCTATCTAATCATTTCACTCCATTCTTTGTCCCTACCCCTAAATAAAGCAAGCAGTTCTCAAGTTTCTCTCTTTATTAAGTCTACCCCCAGGCAGGGGAAGGGGGACAGACCATGGTAACTGTGACACCCCCCCCCCACCCTAGGACACGGGGAATCTCTTCTGCCTATGCCCTCACCCCTCCCCCTGCCCAATAAATAAAAAGGGGACAAGGAAGTACAGGGTGAGGGAGAGGAGGGAAAGAAAATGCCCCAGGCCCAGGACAGCGTCTGTGTTGGGGGTGAGCTGGGGAGAATAAATAGACCATGGATCCCATGGTGGGGTGAGGAAGGACCTCGTGCTGGCACGAGGCAGGGCAGGCAAGGGGCTAAGTGCCCTTGCTCTAGGCAGGAGCCGGGGTGGGAACCTGCCTGCACTCTGGAGCCCAGCTTTGCGGGGCAGGTGCAGTCCCTGATGGCAGCTTCCTGGTCAAGCCTGCCCTGGTTGAGTCCTGCCACAAAGGCCTGAGAGTTCTGTTGCCAGGACCACCATCTCTCCTCCTCTCCCCATAGCAAAAGCTGCCCATGCCGGGCCAGGCAGGGAGCCCTCCAGGCCCGCTCTGGCAAGGCCAGGGGTAGGTGTGTGTCTCTCTGGGCCCCTGGGCAGGAGAGGGGATGGAGGGACTGAGAGCTCCGAATTTAGCTCTTCCCCTTCTAGGGGATCTCTAGCTCTGACCCCCACTGGTGGCCACCTGGGGTGTAAGCCGCTGGAGGGGGGCCTCTTTGGCCCCTTGGGTCCCCTGTAACCGGCGTAGCCGTAGCTCCTCCAGGCCTTGCCATAGCTCCTGACGCTCCCGGGCCTTCTGCTGCTCCCTGGGGAGAGAGGGTGAGGCAGCTCCCATACCCGGGCCGCTCTACAGTCCAGCCTCCCTTACCACCACCCCCACTGTAAAGGGGCTGTATGGGAACCTTCCACTTAGGGGAGAGGGCATTGGGAAACTGGCCCCGGTCTGCGGTGGCGAAGCTGAAAGGGAGGAAGCTCCATACCTGGAAGGACGTGGGAGCACGACTGGAGGAGGCAGTGGGGGGCTGGGCGTGGATGGCCCGGCACTTGGCAGGAACACAGGGACACTAAACATCTGATCAGATAGGGTGTGGGGCCGTCCTCTTAGGCTGCCTCCAACCACGAGGAGCTAGCTCCTTCCTGCTTTTTTCCCCTCTCCCCCCATGCCCAGCCCGACACTCACTGCTGCTTCTCTAGCTTGTAGGAGGCTGTGAGCTCATCAAACAGCTTTCCATTCATCTCCATGAATGTCTTGAGCACATTGTAGATCAGAGATACGATGGTTCTTAGCAGGGTCCAGCGAAGGGGGAGGGGAAGAGAAGAACTTCAGTTAGGCGCCACCTCCCTCTCTAGGACTCTGCCTGTCCCAGACAGCATGCAGCCGTGAACACCACAGGCACTGCTCTCTCCCTGCCCCCTTTACCATCCCTGACCCTCTCCAGCTAGGAGTCATCCCACATCTGGACTGGCCGACCTTGGAACCAGCTTCTGTGGGGTGGGTCAAGGCCTGGGCACTCACTGATTCCAGTGTTCCTTAGAGACTTGGTAGAGGGTCCCAAACACAGCAGGCAGCACAGTGTGGCAGTTGTCCTCAATGAGGCTCAGGATATACTCGTTGTTCCAGAAATACAGAGCCCGCTCTGCAACCTGGGGGCAGGGCAGCAAGGTGGCAGAGTGGGCGCCTGGTAATGGCTTCCCTGCGTGTGCAAGGGCCCGGTGTCCACCCCCACCTCAAAACCCAGGGAGCTCTGCCTCAGCTCATCTGACCCACTGGAGGAGGCAACGCAGTGAGGAGAAAAGAACGCTGGGTTTGGAGTCCAACGCTCAGAGTTGAATCCTAGCTCCACTACACATGGGACGTATGACCTAGGGTGAGGCGTTTAACCTCTCAGCCTCAGTTTTCTCATCTGTAAAATGGGGCTCATAATAGCTCTCTCCCCCCACCCGGGGCTGCTGTAACCATCAAATGAGGTGTTTAATAAATTTAAGTACCAGAGTCACTGTGAGAAGAACTGACTTCCACCAGATTGAGGCTCATAAGATTGAGGGAGACAGTCTGCACACACGTGCAGGAAAAGAGCAGTTATGGCCAGCCTGAGAAGTGGAACCGCCTGGCTGTGCCCTGGAGTGGGACTGATGAAATCAAAAGCCACTAAGAAGAGGGAGCAGGGATAACAACCCATTCTGGAGCACACTGCAGCTTACGAAATAGGTTTGTACTATGTAGTTCTCAGACCTCATCACCATCTGGGGAGGAGATCCCTGTGGTCCCCTTCACAGATGAGGAAGCTTCGTCAGATTCAAGTGGTGGAGTGATTGCCTGTGACCCCTTAGCCCCTCGGGAGTACAGCTGAAGCCTGACCCTAGGTCTCCTGACCTGAAGTCCAGCATCTCCTCGTCACCAGACCCTGGAGGGTCCAGAGGAGACACTGAGGGCGCAGGGAGCGGTGTTTGTTTGACTGGCCAGCCCTCCTAGTCCCTACCCTGGCTCCTGCTCTTACCTGTTCAGACCCCATACCTGGAAATGGGGGCTAGACACACAGCGGGCCACCTGCTTGAAGAGGGGTTCCTGGATCTTCACAAACTGGGAAGGCTCGATGACATCAAGAATCTCTTCCATCTCCCCCAGAAACATCACCTGGAGGTAGGGACACAGGACACGGCAGTTCCCATCTCCCCCCTCCCACACGCATTTGACCGCCCTCCAGAAACAGCCCTCCTGATCCCTCCCCCTGGTGGGCATCAAAGCCCTTCTTCGTACCTCCTTCTGGGTACAGGTTTTTGGCCAGTATTTGAGCAGCCCCCGGATCACCTGTGGGAGTTGAGGCAGAGAGGAGTCAGACCTGCAGGGGTGGGGCCTGCCTTGCCCCCCAGAGGTACTCACGTGCTCTGTCAAGGTGGCGTCTTTCTCCAGGAACTGCACCACACAGTATGCCAGCTGAGGGGGGAGGCGGGTAGGTGGAGAGAAGGAGGACTGGGGTCAGGAGGGGACCAGGACGGGAGGCCAGATGTCTGCTCACTTACTGTGTCTACTCTCTCATTACTAAACGTTTATTGACCGACTACCTATGATGTGCCAGACACCGTGCTCTGTGTGCAGGGACATAACCGTGTTCACCCAGGAGGAACATTCAGCACACCAGTCCTTATACATTTTACAAAAGCTTCCATAATTGAAATCTGTATCACAATCTGTGGGACCGTGGCAAGAGAAGAGTTTAATCCTGCCTAGGGCAGGTCAGGAGGGAAAGGGCTGGGAAGTCTTCACAGAGCTGATGTCTGAGATCAGCCTTAAAGCGTCATGGAAATTCTCTAAGGTAGACGGAACAGAATTAGTAAAGGAAAAGAAGGTAAGGGAGGGAGGATCCCATGAGTTCAGGACTTAGTGTGTGGCTGGAGCAAAATGTTGGGCTGACCCGGATGACCGGATGGCTGCCCTGACTGTGTCAGGATCTGTCTGCTGTGGCAGGGCCAGGCCTGGGCCTCACCTGGGCATGAAAGACAGACAGTGACTTGACAGAGTGCAGGGGAATCAGGACCCGGACCAGGAACTGCTTGTGCTCGGTCTTCAGGGGCAGCGCAAAGCCATTGATGATGCTGAGGTGGGGGCAGAAGAGAGGAGGAGGGCTCAGAAGACCGGGCCTCAGTCTGTCCTCCCAGAATCCTGATGCTCCGGCTGAGGCCCAGAGAGAATCACCTTCCTAAGATCTCCAGCAGCTCAGCCACACCATTGAAGTGCTCGAGTTCATAGATGAACCTGCAAGAGAAAGAGAAGGATGCGGAAGGGCTCAGAGAGATCGGAGCAGGCCCAGCCCCTTCTCAGCTATCCTGCCTGCCACCCCATCCTGCACACTAATCCAACTGTCTCCCAACTGTCTCCCTTCCCAACACCCCAAACCATGCCCCACTGAGATCCACACCCACAGGTGAATCACCCTCCTCAGCCCAACCGCTGGTGCTCAAACCTCTCTTCTAGGAAGCATTCCAACTCTTCTCTTTCTCCCCCAGACCCTAATTCTCATTTTCTGGCCCCCCATCCAGTCAGCAGGCACCCAGGCTGCATCCTTCACTCTTCATGCCTTTCAACCCAATGAATAACAGACACTAAGACATCTAGTCTGTGCTATGGACTTCTCAAAATGATCCTGAGAGATAGGGTTTATTAGATCCATTAAACAGATAAAGAAATCGAGGCTCGGCAGTTTGATGACACCCGCCCCAAAGTTAATAAACAGGATTATTATTGAACTACAACTCCTGGAGGACGGGGATCAGGTCTCACCTATTCTGTAGCTAATAACAACAAGAACAAATGTTTCAGCCTTGGTCAAGGAGCCATATGCTGTGTGCTTTGGAAGCACTGCCTTGTTTCATCGTGATGACTGTCCCTGGGTTAGTGTAGCTAGCATTCCCATTTTAGAGATGGGAGAACCTAAATGATTTGCCCACAGTCACCCAAACATTTGAACCAAACTCAAAACAGGCCACCTAGCTCCAAAGCCAATCTCAACTCCTTCCTACCCTTGTCCAGACCCATGGGGCCCCCTGATGCCCAGTGGGTATCATTGCTCAATACACATTTGCAGAAAGAATCTCTTCATTTGGGTCTTTATGGTCCAGCACAATAAAGATCAAAGGATTTGGATCCTAGGCTCCTAGGCTCCTGGGACTGACCGAGTCCCTGCAAACTACTTCATCTCCCTCAGCCTCTATTTTTTTCATCTGTAAAATGGAAATAAATACCCTTTCCCTGCTGACCTCACGGGAGCCTTTGCCTCTGTCTTCTCCCCTGCAGCTCCCCTCCCTCCCCAGGTCTCAGCTGGGCAGGCAGCAGGCACCCACCGGAGGAAGATGTGGCTGCACTGTTTGCGGATGTAGGCCCGGAGCCCCAGGAACTTGCCATAGACCCGGTGCAGGATGGTCTTGAGGTACTCACGCTCCCGGGGGTCCTCACTATCAAATAGCTCCAGGAGCTGGGGGACCCAGGGTCAGGGGTCAGGGGAGAGGCCAAGCCCAGGTTG